CGCAATTCTCAGCCTAATGGCGACTCATTGCGGTTTATTTGTACCCCGCCACCATCTCCCCAAGGGACTCGATGCGGCTTACATGAGGCCAAGCCCACAGTACATCAATAAACGAAGGCGATAACAAATAATCAATACAAAACAGTTAAAATAAAGCTCAAAAACAAAAAAAATGCACAATAAGCAATAAACAATAACATACAAGCATTTAAAAACCTATGGCCCGGCCAAATGTAATAATTAAAATTTAAAATAATGCTGGGCATGAACTAGGATAGGGTTTTCAAAGAAAGATGAGGGTGCGCAGACCATCCTAAATCAATATGAAAGTGCATTTGAGCTGAATAAAATCCCATATTATCTGGTTTGAATTGGGATATATGGCAGTGCCCTTCCACACAGCCATATATCCCAGAATATCAAGGCAGAAAATCCCACAATATCTGTCACTGTCACACTGTCCACACTGTCATATATTCCATTTCAAAGCAGAACATGTGGGATTTTATTCAGCTGTGTGGAAGAGACTTCCAATAACCCAGTTCAAAGCCGATAAAAGGTAAAGGTTTTCCCCTGACATTAAGTCCAGTCGAATCTGACTCTGTGGGTTGGGGTTCATCTCCATTTCTAAGTCAAAAAGCTGGCATTGTCCATAGACACCTCCAAGGTCATGTGGCCGGCATGACTGATTGGAGCACCAATATTGCATGGAGACTGCATGGAGAGCGGATTATTCCAACTTGATATTCTGGGTTGTATGGCTGTGTACAATAGATACACTGAAGTACCCCCTTTGTTTGAAGTGTTACTTACTCCAAAGTAAGTATGTATAGGACTGCATGTAATCATTTTTGTCTTTCTCAGTGCTTGACTGTTTACAATATTTCTGACAGATAATAATAATAACAACAACAACAACAACAACAACCTCCTAGGGTTCAAGGATTCATATTCAGTCTAGTTTGGGACTGCTAAGGCTCTGTGCACATGAAAAAGGTAAAGGTTTCCCCATGACATTAAGTCTAATTGTGTCCGACTCTGGGGGGGGGAGGGGGGGTGCTCATCTCCATTTCTAAACCGAAGAGCCAGTGTTGTCCATAGACACCTCCTTGGTCATGTGGCCAGCATAACTGAATGGAGCGCTGTTCAATCAGTGATTTATTACGGTCTATGAGTAGCACACTATAGAATGGGGCCCAGGTGCCCAAGGAAGGGAATCGCAGTTCCCAAGTAGGTTAGATAAAAAAAGCAGATTAAAACATGTTATGTAAGAGACAGATTAAAAAACAAACTAAACTTACAGTTTAAAATGCAGGGTATGAGTCTAAAAGAGGGAGGCAGCTAATAGGAAATATCAAACCACTGGGAGGCTCTAAAGAGGGATGAGCGGGAGCATTTACAGCATTTCAGTTATTATTTATTTATTTATTTATTATTTAGAAGTTTTATATGCCGGTCTTCTCACCTCCAACGAGGGACTCAGGCCGGTTTGCAACAAGGGGTTCATACACAATAGTTTTAAAACATCACATCAATAATACACTAATATAAACACATTAAAGTACTATCATATAATTACATAAAGCCAAGTTGTTAGCATAAAAATCACTATTCATCCCATCTGTCCGTGTGGTCAAAAGCCATTGTCTCACTCATCAAATGCCAGATTCCAAAGCCAGGTTTTCACCAACTTTCTAAAGGTCAGGAGGGAAGGAGCAGTTCTAATCTCCAATGGGAGAGAGTTCCAGAGCCGAGGGGCCACCAGCGAGAAGGCCCTGTCCCTCGTTCCCACCAAACGCGATTGCGAAGATGGTGGGACTGAGAGCAGGGCCCCTCCAGAAGTATTACAAATTACTCTAGCTGGAGCGCTGTTACCTTTCCACAGAAGCAGTACCTATTGATCTACTCACATTTGCATGTTTTGAACGGCTAGGTTGGCAGAAGCTGGGCCTAACAGCAGGAGCTCATCCTGCTCCCTGGATTCGAACTGCCGACCTTTCAATCAGCAAGTTCAACAACTCAGTGGTTTAATCCGCTGTGCCACCAGGGCTTCCAACCATGCACATACCCAACCATTAAACCTGCAAGATCGCACTTGTTCCAACTCAAAGGTAAGAGTTAAGAGTATTGTTAATGATATCAGGACTCGCAGCTGTATTCTATAAAAGCCAGTGCCAAGAAGAAACTATAACAAAGAAGGCCTTGCTCTTCTGAGTAGGTGCAGGCATGTCAAAGCAGGATCCCTCTGTCACCCTGACTCCCCCCCCTCCTCCCCCAATGCCATGACGCAGCGTTTTCAGTCATCCAAGGACAAGAGAGCTGACACCCAAGAAATGCAGGGACTGACAGCTTCCCTCTGCTGCTCGTTGGCAGCTCAGCACATGCTTTTTGGTGGCATATTGGGAGAAGGAGGCAGATACGGGCAGGAGTAAGGAAAGACATACAAGTTTAGGGTTCAGAAAGTTTTGGACGACCAGTCCCCACCACCGCAATGGGCTGCTAGGAACGGGAGAAGCAGGCAATCAATCTCAAGAGTGGCCTGTGATACTTATGTGGGAGGAAATCCTGCTTGAAATCTGTAGGCCTCACTCTCCTGTAATTAAATTAATACTGTATTGTTGAAGGCTGTAATGGCCAGAATCATAAGTTTTCTGGGCTGTATGGCCATGCTCCAGAAGCATTCTCTCTTGACGTTTCACCTACATCTGTGGCAAGCATCCTCAGAGGTTGAGAAGTCTACTGGAAACTAGGCAAAGGGAGTTTATATATCTGTGGGATGTCTACCAGTATTAAAAATCTGGCTACTGGTGTTATAAAAACTCTAAAATCAGGACAGTAAATAAAGAGCAACACTAAAAAAAATCAGGCGAATTCCAGACAAGAATCAATCGGGGCCAGCTAACCTCCCAACAAAGCATCCCCAGGCAGGAAGCAACCAAGTTTTGAAGCTCCAATGCCATTCAATGTTAATCAAGGTGGCCAATGGCAACATTCACACTTGCCTCAAGCAGACAAGAGTTCTTTCTCCCCCACTGGACATTGCACAGATATATAAACCCCACTTGCCTAGTTTCCAACAGACCTCAGAACCTCTGAAGATGCCTGCCATAGATGTGGGTGAAACGTCAGGAGAGAATGCTTCTGAAACACAGCCAAAGAGCCCGGAAAACTCATAGCAACCCAGGGTTCAGATCTGTGTGGAAACTAAACCACACTTGCCTAGTTTCCAACAGACCTCACAACTTCTGAGAATGCTTGCCATAGATGTGGGCAAAACGTCAGGAGAGAATGCTTCCAGAACATGACCATACAGGCTGGAAAACTCACAGCAACCCAGTAAATTAATATTGTTAATTAACATCCCTTAGGTATGAAGCAGCCAGACTTTGAAGCTGCAAGGCCATTCAATGTTAATCAAGGCGGCCAATGGCAACATTCACACTTGCCTCCAGCAGACAAGAGTTATTTCTCCCACCCTGGACATTCCGCAAATATGTAAACCCCACTTGCCTAGTTTCTAACAGCCTCCACAACCTCTGAGGATGCCTGTCATAAATGTGGGCAAAACATCAGGAGAGAATGCTTTCAGAGCATGGCCATACATCCCAGAAAACCCATAGCAACCCAGAGTTCAGATCTGTGTGGAAACTAGACTGCACTTGCCTAGTTTCCAACAGACCTCACAATCTCAGAGGATCCTACCATAGATGTAGGCGAAACATCAGGAGATAATGCTTCCGGAACAAGGCCATAGAGCCTGGAAAACTCATAGCAACACAGGATCAGATCTGTGTCGAAACTAAACCGCACTTGCCTAATTTCCAACCACCCTCACAACCTCTCAGGATGCCTGTCATAGATGTGGGCAAAATGTCAGGAGAGAATGCTTCCAGAACACAGCCATACAGCCTGGAAAAATCACAGCAACCCAGGGTTCAAAACTATGTTGAAACTAAACTGCACTTGCCTAGTTTCCAACAGACCTCACAACCTCTGAGGATGCCTGCCAGATGTGGGTGAAACATCAGGAGAGAATGCTTTCAGAGCATGGCCATACATCCCAGAAAACTCATAGCAACCCAGGGTTCAGATCTGTCTCGAAACTAAACCGCCTAGTATCCAACAGACCCCACAACCTCTGAGGATGCCTGTCATAGATGTAGGCGAAACATCAGGAGAGAATGTTTCTGGAACATGGCCATGCAGCCTGAAAAACCTACAACAACCCAGGATTCAGTTCTGTGTCGAAACTAAACTGTACTTGCCTAATTTCCAACAGATCTCACAACCTCTGAGGATGCCTGCCATAGATGTGGGCAAAACATCAGGAGAGAATGCTTCCAGAACATGGCTATACATCCCAGAAAACTCATAGCAACTCAGGATTCAGTTCTGCATCAAAACTAAACTGTACTTGTCTAGTTCCTAACAGACCTCACAACCTCAGAAGATGCCTGCTATAGATGTAGGCAAAACGTCAGGAGAGAATGCTTCCGGAACATAGTAACGCAGCCTGGAAAACTCACAGCAACCCAATAAATTAACATCACCTTTTTGCCTTGTTTTTCGAAATGGTCATATGACTGATCAAATAAATAAATTATGATTATTATTACATTGTTTTGGATGTGTGCCGCCCATCCTGGTCACCTCCACAGTAGCAAGAAAGCTTTAGGAGTAATTCCAGAAAGAAAGCTTTACAGTAATTACAGTTGCAATGAGAACAATTCTGGTAGGAAAGCATCTCCACCTGGAGACACCAAGGAAGGGATATATCATCATCCTGTTTGGTGTAGAAGGACTTGATGGAGTTCCCATTACATAACCCTCCTGCACAATGGAAGCACTGCACTTCAATGCATATCTACTAACCCTGTAAACTGAGAGAACAAGGGAGAAACAGAGAGAATGATGCCTAGACCCTTCTCCTTCCTCCCTCTCTTTCTCTAATGGCTGCTTGTATTAGAACTATGTATAGTTTTGCCTCTTCCTTGCCTCACCTGCTCGCCGAAGTCGATGGCGATGTTGGTGATGCCCAAAGGGACCAAGAAGCGGATCAAGGGCCAGTAGTTGGTGAGCGCCGGGAATTTCACCATAGTCCCTTGTGATTGCTGCTGCTGCGCGCGAGGCCAGGCACATCTGCCGCAGAGAGAGAGAGAAAGAGAGGCGAGGAAGCCGACCAGTCCCGGCTTTATTTAGCACGCGGCGGCGTCAGGCTCTGGAGAGGCAGTAGCAGCGGCAGCAGCGCGAGCTCCTCTTCTGTGGCGGCTGCCTTTAGCGAGGAGGCCTCCCCGAGCCCAAGTCCATCGCGGCCGCCCTCCTCCCACGCGCAAAAGGCCCGCGGGCAGAAAGAGGAGGGGACCCGGCACCATCCCCGGCGGCTGGGGGCATCCTTTTCCCCTCCAAATGGGGACAAAAGCCCCACCTACGCCCGAAGGGGGGCAAGCGGGGGAGCAGAGCAAACAAACCGCACGGCACCGGCGCGGATCCGCCTGCTTTTCCGTCCCCTCCTCCTCCTCCTTCCTTCCTCCTCCCGGGATGCGAGGGAGGATCTTCTCTGACTTCTCTGCTCTGCCTGCCTCCCTGGAAGGGGAAAGAGGGGCTCCCCGTTGCCCCCGATGAGGAGGCCTCGGCGCAGGAGCAGCAGCAGCAACCTCTAGCTGCAGGCTGCCCTCTCTTCCTCCCTCCCTCCCTCCCTGTGGAAGCCAAGGCCACAACAAGGGGAGAGGCCCCACTATTCCAGCCATGAAACAATCAGGGCCAGCTAACACCTTCCAACAAAGGATCCCCAGGAAGGAATCAGCCTGGCCTTGAAGATGCCCTCTTCCTCTGGAAGGCAAGGCCAGAAGAAGGAAGAGGCATGCCAGGGGCCCCCACTATTCCAGCAATGAAATTATCAAAGCCAGCTAATACCTCCCAACAAAGGATTCCCCCAGGCAGGAATAAGCCTGGCCTTGAAGATGCTCTCTCCCTCTGGAAGACAATGCCAGGCCAAGGGAGAGGCACCCCAGGAAACCCCACACTAACCCTAACCCTAAATCAACCACACTGTTGTTGAACACAATACCCCCCACTCCAGACATGAAACAATCCAGACGTGAAACAATCAGAACCAGCTAACACCTTCCAACAAAGGTTCCCCCCAGGAAGGAATTAGCCTGGCCTTGAAGGTGCCTTCTCCCTCTGGAAGACAAGGCTAAGCCAAGGAAGAGGCACCCCAGGGAACCCCACTATTCGAGATATGAAACAATCTGGGCCAGCTAACACCTTCCAACAAAGGATCCCCCCAGGAAGTAATCACCTGTCTTTGAAGGTGCCCTCTCCCCTTGGAAGGCAAGGCTAAGCCAAGGGAGAGGGACCCCAGTGAACCCCACTATCCCACCCATGAAACAGCTAACACCTAACAAAGGATCCCCCCCCCCCCGGAAGGAATCAGCCTGGCCTTGAAGGTGCCCTCTCCCCCTGGAAGGCAAGGCCAGGCCAAGGGAGAGGCACCCCAGGGAACCCCACTATTCCAGCCATGAAACAATCTGGGCCAGCTAATACCTCCCAACAAAGGATTCCCCCAGGAAGTAACCAGCCTGGCCTTCAAGATGCCCCCATCTCTCTCCCCCTGGAAGCCTAGGGCAAGGCCACAACAAGGGGAGAAGCAACCCAGGAAGCCTCCCAACAAAGGATTCCCCCAGGCAGGAATCAGTCGGCCTTGAATATGCTCTCCCCCTCTGGAAGACAAGGCCAGAATGAGGGAGAGGCACCCCAGGGAGCCCCACTGTTCCAGCTATGAAACAAGCAGGGCCAGCTAATACCTCCCAACAAAGTTTTCTCCCAGGCAGGAATCAGCCTGGCCTTGAAGACGCCCCCCCCCCCTCCCTCTGGGAGTCTAGGCCAAGGCCACAACAAGGGGAGAGGCTAACACCTCCCAACAAAGGATTTCCCCAGGCAGGAATCAGCCTGGCCTTGAAGGTGACCTCTCCCCCTGGAAGGCAAGGCTAAGCCAAGGGAGAGGCACACCTGGGAACCCCACTATTCCAGCCAGGCCAGCTAACACCACCCAAGAAAGGATTCCCCCAGGCAGGAATCAGCCTGGCTTTGAAGGTGCCCTTTCCCTCTGGAAGACATGCCCAGTCCAAAGGAGAGGCATGCCAGGAATCCTGACCTTCAAGGCCAGGCAGGAATCAGCGTGGCCTTGAAGATGCCCTCTCCCCCTGGAAGGCAAGGCTAAGCCAAGGGAGAGGCAACCCAGGGAGCCCCACTATTCCAGACATGAAATAATCAAAGCCAGCTAATACCTCCCAACAAAGGATTCCCCCAGGAAGGAATCAGCATGGCCTTGAAGGTGCCCTCTCTCCCTGGAAGGCAAGGCTAAGCCAAGGGAGAAGCACCCCAGGGAACCCCACTATTCCAGCCATGAAACAGCTAACACCTTCCAACAAAGGATCCCCCCAGGCAGGAATCAGCCTGGCCTTGAAGGTGCCCTCTCCCCCTGGAAGGCAAGGCTAAGCCAAGGGAGAGGCACCCAGTGAACCCCACTATTCCAGCCATGAAACAGCTAACACCTTCCAACAAAGGATCCCCCCAGGAAGGAATCAGCCTGGCCTTGAAGGTGCCTTCCCCCTCTGGAAGACAAGGCTGATTCAAGGGAGAGGCAGCCCAGGGAACCCCACTATTCCACCCATGAAACAGCTAACACCTTCCAACAAAGGATCCCCCCAGGAAGGAATCAGCTGGCCTTGAAGGTGCCCTCTCCCCCTGGAAGGCAAGGCTAAGCCAAGGGAGAGGCACACCTGGGAACCCCACTATTCCAGCCAGGCCAGCTAATACCTCTCAACAAAGGATTCCCCCAGGCAGGAATCAGCATGGCCTTGGTGACATCTCCCTATGGAAGGCAAGGCCAGGCCAAAGGAGAGGCGCCCCAGGGAACCTCACTATTACAGCCATTAAACAAGCAGGGCCAGTCTCCCAACAAAGGATTTCCCCAGGAAGGAATCTGCCTGGCCTTCAAGATGCCCCCCTCTCTCTACCCTTGGAAGCCAAGGCCAAGGCCACAAGAAGGGGAGAAGCAGCCCAGGCAGCTCCATTATTCCAGACATGAAACAATCAAGGCCAGCTAACACCTTCCAACAAAGGAGCCCACCAGGAAGCAATCAGCCTGGCCTTGAAGATGCCCTCTTCTTCTGGAAGACAAGGCCAGAACAAGGGAGATGCACCCCAGGGGGCCCCACTATTCCAGCCATGAAATAATCAAAGCCAGCTAATACCTCCCAACAAAGGATTCCCCCAGGCAGGAATAAGCATGGCCTTGAAGATGTTCTCTCCCTCTGGAACACAATGCCAGGCCAAGGGAGAGGCACCCCAGTCAACAACATTTACCCTAACCCTAAGACAACCCCACTGTTGTTGAACACAATACCCCCCACTCCAGATGTGAAACAATCCAGATGTGAAACAATCAGGACCAGCTAACACCTTCCAACAAAAGATCCCCCCAGGAAGGAATCAGCCTGGCCTTGAAGGTGCCTTCTCCCCCTGGAAGACGAGGCCAAGCCAAGGGAGGTGCACCCCAGGGAACCCCACTATTCCAGCCATGAAACAATCAGGGCCAGCTAACACCTCCCAACAAAGGATTCCCCCAGGCAGGAATCAGCTTGGCCTTGAAGATGCCATCTTCCTCTGGAAGACAAGGCCAGAACAAGGGAGAGGCACCCCAGGGAGCCCCACTGTTCCAGCTATGAAACAAGCAGGTCCAGCTAATACCTCCCAACAAAGGATCCCCCAGGCAGGAATCAACCTGGCCTTGAAGATCCCCCCCCCCCAGAAGACAAGGCCAGACCAAGGGAGAAGCACACCTGGGAACCCTACTATTCCACCCATGAAACAGCTAACAACTTCCAACAAAGGACCCCCCCAGGAAGGAATCAGCCTGGCCTTGAAGGTGCCCTCTCCCTCTGGAAGTCAAGGCCACAAGGGGGGAGGCAACCCAGGAAGCCCCACTGTTCCAGCCATGAAACAATCAAGGCCAGCTAACACCTCCCAACAAAGGACCCCCCCAGGAAATAATCAGCCTGGCCTTCAAGATGCCCCCATCTCTCTCCCCCTGAAAGCCTAGGCCAAAGCCACAACAAGAGGAGAAGCAACCCAGGAAGCCCCACTATTCTAGCCATGAAACAATCTGTGCCAGCTAATACCTCCAAACAAAGGACCACGTCCCCCAGGAAGGAATCAGCCTGGCCTTGAAGGTGCCCTCTCCCCCTGGAAGACATTAGACCAAGGGAGAGGCACCCCAAGGAGCCCCACTATTCCAGCCATGAAATAATCAAAGCTAGCTAATACCTCCCAACAACAGATTCCCCCAGGCAGGAATCAGCCTGGCCTTGAAGATACCCCCCCTCTCTCTCCCCTTGGGAGCCTGGGCCAAAGCCACAACAAGGGGAGAGGCTAACACCTCCCAACAAAGGATCCCCCAGGCAGGAATCAACCTGGCCTTGAAGATCCCCCGCCCCAGAAGACAAGGCCAGACCAAGGGAGAAGCACACCTGGGAACCCCACTATTCCAGTCATGAAACAATCTGGGCCAGCTAATACCTCCCAACAAAGGATTCCCCCAGGCAGGAATCAGTCTGGCCTTGAAGGTGAGATAAAGCCAGGAAGACAAGGTCAGGCCAAGGGAGAGGCACCCCAGGGAACCCTACTATTCCAGACATGCAATAATCAAAGCCAGCTAATACCTCCGAACAAAGGATTCCCCCAGGCATGCATCATCCTAACCTTGAAGGTGCCCTCTCCCTCTGGAAGACAAGGCCAGGCCAAGGGAGAGTCACCCCAGAGAAACCCACTATTCCAGCTATGAAACAATCTGGGCCAGTTAATACCTCCCAACAAAGGATTCCCCCAGGAAGGAATCAGCCTGGCCGTGAAGATGCCCTCTCCCTGTGGAAGATAAGGCCAGGGCAAGGGAGAGGCACACCAGGGAACCCCACTATTACAGACATGAAACAATCAGAGCCAGCTAATACCTCCCAACAAAGGATTCCTCCAGGCAAGAATTAGCCTGGCCTTGAAGATGCCCTCTCCCTCTGGAAGACAAGGCCAGGGCAAGGGAGAGGCACACCAGGGAACCCCACTATTCCAGACATGAAACAATCAGGGCTAGCTAATACCTCACAACAAAGGATTCCCCCAGGCAGGCATCATCCTGCCCTTGAAGATGCTCTCTCCCTCTGGAAGACAATGCCAGGCCAAGGGAGAGGCACCCCAGGGAACCCACTAACCCTAACCCAACCCCACTGTTGTTGAACACATGAAAAAATCCAGACGTGAAACAATCCAGATATGAAAAAATCAGGGCCAGCCAATACCTCCCAACAAAGGATTCCCCCAGGCAGGAATCAGCTTGGCCTTGCAGATGCCCTCTCCCTCAGGAAGACAAGGCCAGAACAAGGGAGAGACATCCCAGGGGCCCCCACTATTGCAGACATGAAACAATAAGGCCAACTAATACCTCCCAACAAAGGATTCCCCCAGGCAGGAATCAGCCTGGCCTTGAAGATGCCCTCTCTCTCTGGAAGACCATGCCAGACCAAGGGAGAGGCACCCCAGGGTGGGCCAGTATT